GGATTCGCATCTAAACACTCAAAGTCTCACTGAAATAAAAATACGAATAAAATTACAACTCAAAGGAGTTTTGTCAAACGGGTTTGCCAAGAAATAAAATCTAACAATATTATATAAACAAAAAATTTATACATAATACTGTATTCATATATAATGGGTTAATTTGGGAATTTGGCTATTTTAATTGTTTTTTTTTAAAAAAAACTTTTTTACTATTTTTGGGGTACTTACATATAGGTCCTAATAGGTAGACTTATTGTCTAATAGGTCCTATGGAAAAAATTTGTCATAAAAAAATTTTAGTAAGTTTTAACAACAATTTATAAAAATCATGACAAAAAAAATTACTAATTATCAATTTTTAGCGACATATATAAAAAATTGTCACAAAAAATTTATTTTTATCGACAATTTTATCAAGATTTATTTCCAATAGGACTTGATGGGAATTAAGTCTAACTATTAGGACCTATTGGTAGTTTACCCTCTATTTTTTTATTTTATCCTAACTAAAAAAAATTGTATTTGAGAAGATAGTTGATTTTTTTTTTTTTTTTGAAGTTGATTTGATGGTTTTGAGATAAACTAAAATGATTATAATTTAGATGTCATATTTTATTTTATTAACTATTTTAACTTATTTTTAGCCTAAATTCAACTTCCCAAACAAGTCCAATGATGTGGCTTATTATGAACTATTCATTTCAAAACAAAACACTATTGAATATGAATTTATTTACAAAAAATAGTATTGTAACATAATTCTTGTAGAATTTTTTGTACGAAATTTATATATGAGTAGAATTTTTTTATCTTAAATAAAAAAAACTATACAATAATCTCAGAGTGTTTTATAAAATAATATTAAGCGTTCATAAAAATATTGATAATAAAATTATGTAAATTATTTCATAATTTTTGTGCAACTTATATTATTTTAAATTTTAATTCATATCATACATTTTTATTATTTAAAAAAATAGAAGTACCTTTCTATGCCACATAACTTTTTCTATTTCAAAATAGTTTGAAAATGCATTATTTTTAAATATTGGCCCCCATTGGGGAGTGAGATAAAGAGCCAAACGAAGGCTAAGTACATTTGCATTGAATTTATCGACGTCGTTTTGAGTACAAAACAACATCAAAATGGCCAAAACGACGTCGTTTTGAGTACAAAACAACATCAAAATGGCCAAAACGACGTTGTTTTGGCCATTTGAGCCATATTTAAGCCACAGAATTAAGGCCCCCAAACATTTTTCCTTTTTCTATTTCAAAATAGTTTGAAAATGCATTATTTTTAAATATTGGCCCCCATTGGGGAGTGAGATAAAGAGCCAAACGAAGGCTAAGTACATTTGCATTGAATTTATTCTCAACTTTTAGCTATGAAAATATTAGAAATCATAAAAGATTTACTAAAAACCATCTACAGTAGCCTTCCTAAAGGGTTTCTCAATTTAACAAATGCTACAGTGAATCTCTCAATTTAGCAATGTCACTGTTCATTCCCTAAATTGTTTTTGGCAATTTTAGCCTATTTTTTTAACCTCGTTTGGTTTTTATTTTTGACTTTTTTGACTTTTACGAGAGAAAAAGTGTAATGATTATGATTTGGATGTGACATTTTATCTTATTAACTTATACAATTAATTTTGTCTTTTTGGCTAAAAAATCACAAAAGATAAAATTGACTTCATAAGTCAATAAGATAAAAGATCACTTCAAAATCATAATCATTATACTTTTTTTCTCACAAAAGTCAAAAAATTTAAAAATAAAAATCAAATGAGGTTAAAAAATCCAGGCTATTTTAGCTCTTCCTAAATGAAAACTTTAATTAATTTCTTTTTCCTCTTTTTCTATTTACTCTTTAATGTAATTGTTAGATCAACTTTTAAAATATAAGTTTAATTGAAAAAAGAATAATGAAATAATATTTAAATAAAGTAGAAAAAGAATAAGGAGTAATGTTGGAGAAATTAATTGAAAAAGTGATCACCTAATTGAGAAGTAAAATTTGAAGAAAAAATAAGTAAAATTGGTGGGGATGCTCTAATTTGTTAGCTACAATTTATTCACATTATTTGAGGGAAAAAAGAAAAAAGAAAATAAAAAAAAAGCAGAAGAAATATCGGTCTGTTTATCTTTTGTATTTTTGGTGAAATTGAATTGCATGAAAAAAAGAAAAAAAATTCCCAATGTTTGGCAGAAATGCTACATTTTCAAAACTATTTTCCATTGTTTGGTGATGAAAGAAAATCATGGTAAATTCTAGTAACTATCATACATTTCTTCCATGCCATACCAATATATATATACACAATTCATCAATGGATTAAAAATTGAACAGTATTATTTTTTATATATTTATAAATCGGATCTAATGTTTTTACCATTTTGCATCCATCACTCTCGTTGAGTTTCATGACATGTGATGCTCATTTGGAGCATGGGTCAAGCATCACATGTGATTTGTTTTTTCAGAAATTGTTTTCGAAAACGACTTCAGAGAAGATGGATCCATAAGTTATTAAGTTGGTTTCATTGGAATCAATTTGGTGAAAAAATAAATTCCCCTTAAATATTCTCTCTCTCTCTCTCTTATTTTTATTTTTTATTTTATTATAGTTAAGTGTACATCCAAACACTGAATAGGAAGAAAAGTATATTTACAACACTTGTTTCTTACATGTCTCTTCCTAACTAAATATTTCCATTTTTTTTTAAACAAATCATTAACAAGGAAGACTCACAAAAGCCATGTTCAAAGATTCCCCCTTGTATTTGCTTGCTTATTTACAAACGCTCTGTCTGAATAATTAATTTAGATAGAGATTTAAAAAAGAAATGATAAATAATAAAAAATATATATCTTTCATTCACATTGTTATTATTATTTTATTTTTTTGTTTCTCTTTTTAAATTTTTACCAAAATTCATAGGGGATTTTTTTTTTTTTTTTGAGGTCCGTGGTATTAAGATTTAATAGCATAAAAGACATTTAATATTTTTATAATGTCTAAGGTCTCACAATATCGATCCAGAGAAAATTCGATTTAGAGAATTTCTCTAGACTAATCACAGAGAAAATTTCAAAATTTTCTAGACACATCGCAAGGAAAATTTTACACATCTCCAACACTAAATTTCTGTGGACACATCGCAGAGAAAATTTTACACATCACCAACACCAAATTTCTCTAGATTCAAATCAGAGAAAATTGAAACTTCTCTGAATTCAAACTAGGAAAAAAAAAATTTTCCTTTTCCTTTTCTTATTTCAACTTCTGTTTATTAACAATACTGTTGTTGTTGACCATTACTTCATATCCAGTTTATGCAACCATTTATGTCTAAACTAATATTTTTACAAAACCCTTTATAATGGCATTAGAATTAAACATTCAAAAAATACAAGGACCAACCAACATTCCAATCCTTAGTGAGCATTTTGTGTTGTATGATTTTCCTACCTAGCTAGATCTGAATAAACTTGGCTGCATTGATCTCACACATCTCTAAACATCAAAAGAAATGAGTTGAACCCTTTAGATGAAGCCCCGCCCAAGATCCACAGTAGCAAGTTACTAAACAAATTCATGGTCCCAGCTTTATTCACAAATTTTTTTGGCTTTGTTCACATCAGTAGATGCACATCTTTGACCAGGCAGATGTTGCGTTTTCTTGGCGAGATTGTCTTTCACTTTTGTACATAACGATCGTTGCTTCTACTTCATGTATTGGATTGATTTCTTTGGTTTGGACTAGAGAAATTCTCTGGTTTGGACTGAATTTTCTCTGGGTTGATCTAAAGAAATTCTCTGGTTTGAACTGAATTTTCTCTGGTTAGTCCAGAGAAATTTTCTGGTTTGAATTGAATTTTCTCTGGTTTGGTCTAGAAAAATTCTCTGGTTTGAACTGAATTTTCTCTGGGTTGATCCAGAGAAATTCTCTAGTTTAGACTGAATTTTCTCTAGTTTGGTGCAGAGAAATTCTCTGGTTTTGATTAAAATTTCTCTGGATTGATTTGAGGGATCTTAGAATTCTCTCCTTGGCATTTCATCAAACACCTTCTTTGTTGAATCCAAATCCCCAGCTCCCAAATGCATCTTTTTATGTAGATTTCTTCATTAAATGTTGTATGAAGATTTTAAGATTTAGTTTATTGAGATCAACAATAAAGACAATGAAGAAGAAACAAGAAAAAAATAAGAAAAGCAATGATGAATAAAGCACTATTAGAAACAACAATAAGGATTAGTGTTCTACTTCATATAATTTTTGTTGTATAAAGCACTATTAGGAATTTTCATACAAATCGACGATTTCCATCGGCAAAACTTTATAAATCTTGCTAGTGTGAATTCCTCTGTCGTAGTCAATGCCAATGAAGCTTTGAACAATGTTGCAGACAAAGAGGAGAAAGAGAGAAGAGTTGTTTGGTGCAAGAAGAGAGATGAGAGAAAATGAAAAAATGGGTGTTATATATGGGTATGAGTGAGGGATCTTAGACTACAAAAAAATTTATTATAGATCTCTTCTATTACTAAAAGTTAAAAAGGAATATTAGGCCAATTTTTCCTTTTAAAATCCAAACTCAACATTACTATTCCCACATTTTAATTTCAATCAGGCAACATCATGTTATCGTTTTTTGTTATTAAAGTTTTCACATGTTTTGTCCTATCCTTGTTTTCGCATGTTATCGATACCACTTTCTAAATTGTCTTCCTTTTTCTCTCATTTTCCAATTATTTCTTTTTCGTCACTATAAATTTATATCCAAACATAACTTGAACTAATATTTTTTTTAGGAAAGTGATTTGTAAACACAAAAGGGCAAATTTTACCAATAATCCCTGTAATTTTCTTCAAATTTTATTTTGATCCCTATTATTTTAATTATAACAAATTAAACCCTCAAGTTTGTACAATATATCAATTGAGAACAATCAATAATGGAAGTCAATATTTTCAAAAACAAATTCTGAAAATTAACTCAAAAAAGTGGAACGCAAAAGTGCATTGGCACATGGAGAAATGTTGTTCCATTTATTACAAAATACATATGACCAGACAAGCTGGAGATTTATAATTCAAATTCTCACAATAGCTTAAACCAACAGGGACTATATATATGTATATTCAGCTTAAGCTGATTACAATTTACACTTACCTCATATTAGAAAGTAAAATGGCTTACTAATGGAGCTTCTCAACGACATATAATAAATTTAATGTAGTGGCAGTGTAGTAAATTTTCACCACCTCCAAAACTATCTTTATTTGGGCACATGATTCCTCATTCCAAATTCCTCAGTTCCCCTTGTTCTAAACACTCACAACCGAATTACGTTTCGAAATTCTCATTCCTCAAGATTCTCACACGATTGTAAATATTTTGGGACTTTCGTAGAAAAATTTAAAGACAGAAGATCTTTTGAAACGTAGAACTTCTGTCTCTCTCTCTCTCTCTCTCTCTATCACACATGAAAAGTGGCCATTGTAAGGTCATAAACATAATAACTACCCTATAGCTCTTATCCACACACACACACACACGGGGAATGTCTAGCGAAACTGGCGTCCGGAAAATGTCTGGCCGAAGGACCAGCTGGGAGAGGCAACGTTATAGGAGACAACATATCGGCCATCGCTTGTTACTACCTTAAAAGAGAGGCTTTGGCCGTTGAGGTAAGAGTTGCTCTGCCAGTTCTGGCCCCAGTTTCTTGACATGGCTTGCCAGCCAGTTCTTGAGCCCTTGATGTACACAGCATGCACATCTCCAGCACCACCGACATTGGTAATAAGTACAAGGTTGAAGTAGGAGTGGCCATTGATGGTGAACCTGATTCCTCCCCTTCTCCTGCAGGGTACCCTACATAACACGTGAAAGAAAATGACTTAATATCCAAGATTTCAACACACAAACACACTGCATTTATGGCCCTGTTTGGTATGAAAAACTACTTGTAACAATTTTGGTTTTTTAAGGCAAAAATAATTTAAGTAAATTGAAAAAAGATAGGCTTTTAACCTTTCGTTTTCTTATTATTAAGTTTCAACTTGTTAGAAGTTTTACAAACAAGCCCTGTGTATATTAGAAGCAAAAATGTTGAACCATTACTTGAATTGATAATAACATACTTGTAAGTTATGATCACAATAAATCACATTATTGTGTATGACAATTATGTAAAAATTTTATATTTGTATGACACTACTCATGCTAGAAATAATATAATTGTAGCAGTTGGATAAATTTTACACCCTATTTAAAGTAAAATAAAATATTTTCAAAGAGTTAAAAAAATAATTTTTGTGGGAAATTTTAAAAATGAAACAAGCGTCAACAACAAATACCAAATTGCCTAATTCACTTTATAATATAGTATTGATGATAAGTAATTAGAGCAAAGAACTACCTTCTGAAAGCCACAGGGACAATTCCAGCTCGGTATTGAGCAATGTGAAGGAAAACAGGCTGAGAGAGATCAAAGTGGAGGTTGGGAGGGTCACACCAACCGCCCGGCGGGCAGAAGTTGGTGGCAGTGACCGTAATGGTGCCGGGCAGGCACCACTGTGGATCATTCACACACCTAATCTGATAACAAGCTCCACAGCTCAAGCCATTGTTGAACATTGCTGTGCTCAATGCTGCTGTGTTTGTTCCATACCCTTGGCTGTACAAGTTCCCATACCCACAAGCCCCCCCTGCCAAAAAAATAAATAAATAAATGAAAATCACATTTACTAAAAATTATGTAAAATGTTGCTTTCTGTGTATGGTTTCTGTGTTCGTAGACAGTAAGTTGTGTGACATACCCATTGTGCCGGAAGCATCACCTCCTCCATAGAAGGTGGCATGAGCATTAGTCCAACCCAAATAATACCCATCAACACACCACACCATGGAGATGAAGGCTGCTAATACAATCCCTATAAGTGCCATTTTGAATTTCCTGCACAAAACAAGAGTTTTCTAAGCATTTCTTGAAAGTGTAGTGAAAGTGAAGCCCATAATTGACACTAAAACTGCCAAAAAAGGAAGAAAGAAAGAGAAAGAAAGTTACAAAGAAGATGATGATGATAATGATGATGATGAGTTTGGAAAGGAGCTGTGAGGAAATGAAGAGAACTTTTGATGGGAATAAATAGAGGGGTTTTGGAGGGAGGTGGGGACATTAGGCTTAACAACATCAGCTGACAATCGGACAAGTTTCAGCCGGTGCTTGGGATCATAACAGACTGTTAAAGTGGTGTTTGAAGGGTTGTTAATGAGGAAAAAAATGCAAGCACCTAATGGGGGGTTGAAAGGGGTTTTTGCTTTGTGGGTTAAATCTGTAATCTGAGAAATTTCTTCAATCCAATGTGTGGGTCAGAGTGAACTCTCTGGCTCTAGCTGTGGTAAAACTTTTACAGGTGAAAAACAGAATGAAGACTAGTTCTTGGTACATTGACAAATATGCATACAGATTTACGAAAATTTCACATGGGTGGGGTTCGTTCTACAATGTTATGCGTCCAACTTAAATTTGTCCAGTTCTCTAAATGATAATTTTTTATTTTTTATTTTGGTTGCTCTCTGAATGAATTTTTTATACGTAAAAAAAAAGGTAAATATATATTTGTGAATAAATAAGGAAGACCAATGGTTTGGCCTAGGAGATAAAATGCTTCTCCTAATGATATTTGGATTCGAGTCTCATTTGTTGCGTAATGTAATTTCATTTATTTCCCTCCAACCTATTGTGAAAATAATAGAAAGGGTGGTCTAAATGCTAAGAACATTTTTGTTAGTAATATGTTATTTATTCTTATAGTTGTAATTTTATGGATATGGCTTCTTTCAAGTTGGAGAAAAACCCGGTCTATTATTGTTGAGTGTGTAGCTTATTTTGCTTCTTATTGTGGTAATCTAAATTGTTTAGTTTTTAAGTCTTTGTGTACAAATTATCAATGAAAAAAATCATTTCTGTTATTTGTAATTACAAAATTTAACTAAATTTATCTTTAAAAATCGAATAACAAATATGATAAAATTATACAATTACAATTATTAGATTAATCTATATTTTTTTATGAATAATCTATGTATAGAGACTTAAAAAAATGTATAATTCAAATCATTGAAAAAAACCCATAATGGACTCAAAAACCCAACAGGAGTGTACTGGACTGAACATCCCCTCCAATTGTGGAGAAATTAAATCCTATTTTTATATTTCAATGTGACAGCCTAAATCAAGTCGTGTCATTATCATTTTTTTAGGGAAAATATTATACATCTTTAAATTTTTTATCAAATAAATGATTAAATGTGATGTGGATCCCACACTGTTGTGGGCTCCATACCCATATGAGATATTTGATCATTTATTTAATATAAAATTTGATATCTCTGACATTATATTTTTTTAATAGATAAAAGCATAGGTGTCCCTACAGTCTCATAATGGGGTTGAAGCTGCAAATTCATCTATTGATATGCCCATCATAAATCATAACACTGTTTTAATTGCTGACAAATATTTATAGTGGCTTTTATAGACAATCCCGTATAAAAATTAAAACATGTACTTTGAAAGTAATCACTAACCTTCTACTATCAAAAGAGGCCCTTTCATTTCAAAATTTTAAAATGAAGCTCCGTTTGGAAAGTAGATTGCTTTTAAATTTTTTGATTTTTTTATTATTTTAATCTGGGGCTAAAAAGTTTGATTTGGGAAGGACTTTTGACTTTTTTGACTTTTTTTGAGAGAAAGAATGTAATGATTATAGGTTGGATGTGATATTTTGTCTTATTGAATTAAAAAGCCTATTTTGTTTCTTGTGACTATTTTAGCCAAAAAAAAAATCAACAAACCAACTTCCCAAACGGAGCTTTTAAGCTTAAATGTTTGTGACATAGAATCAGCTCAAAAAAGCTCACTCATAAGTATATAGATTGCTATAAATTTTACAAGGTTGTGTGACGTTATGTATACAGATACAGTTGATTCTGTGACTGATTTTGTGGATGTAGAATAAAAACTTGTGAATTTACAATAAAAAAGACATAAAAATTATTCTAAAATGATGTGATAATGATATTTTGTAATTGAAAAAGAGGAAATTGCAAACCATTGAGACAATGAATAAATAATTGCACTTTGAATAGAATCTTTTTTGGTGTAACTCTAATACAGAGGAAGAACTTACACCAAACACATAAATGACTTGCACTATGTACATAGAAAATTTCTATCACCATAAAGATATAAATATTCCTTCGGAGAGTTATATGTAGGTATTAATAAGTGGACTTATTGACGTTTTTCATTAAACACTATTAAAAAAGCATCATTAACTATAAATTTTCAGGGACAGTTTGAAAATTGTTACAAAAAATATCACTAATTATAAGTTTTAGTGACAATTTAAAAAAATTGTCACAAGAAAATATCACTAATTTTTAACTTTAGCTATTGCTTGAAAAATTCATCACAGAAAAACATCACTAATTGTAAGTTTAAGTGACAATTTATAAAAATCATGACAAAAAAAGTCATTAATTATTAATTTTTAACGACATATGTAAAAAATAGTCATAAAATTTATTTTTAATAACAATTTTTCTAAAATTTATTTTTAATAAGATTTTATAAGAATTATATTCCATTATTAAGACATATTAATAGTTTATCATATTCTTTTATTGTCCTATTGATTAACAACTTTTCCATTAAAAAATGTTTAAAGACAGCCTTAAAGACTATCATTAGTTTTGAAATGTGTATAAAAAAATATATATATATATATATATGTATATATATGTGTGTGTGAAAAGTGTGTTACAATTTGTAAAAGTGTTAAATAATATTTAAAAAGTGTATTAAAATTATAAATATTTTGCCTATGTTTGATTTAGTTTTGAAAGAAAAGTTTTTGAAAAGAATTTTTAAAATTTAAAAATTTATTTGGTTATATATTTTGAAAATAATTTTACAGTTTTGTAGTTCTAGTTCTGAAGTTTGGGATGATTTGTAATTTTTTTTAATTGAATAGATAGGTGTGAAAAAAAAAATAATTGATTGATGTATAACGCGTAAGAAAATAAGAGAAAAGATAGAAAAAGTAATTGAAAATAATTTTAAAAAAATTATAAACTAAATAAATTTTGAGTTTTTTGCTCTCAAAAATGGTTTTCAAAACTAAACCAAACAAACCTTTGACTTTATTTCTTTGTCATTGACCGTCCTTATAGCTGTCTCTTTGTAATTAGCTCATTCAAAGAAAAATGTTTGGGAGCACTAATAGAAAATAAGAGAAAAGATAGAAAAAGTAATTGAAAATAATTTTAAAAAAATTATAAAGGGTTCGTTTGGCAAGAAGAGTTTGGGGTTTTTTTGGCTATTTTAGCCACAAAAGACAAAATAAGCTATTTTTAGCCACAAAAAACAAAACATCACATCCAACCCATAATCATTACACTCTTTTCTCAAAAAAAAAGTCAAAAAAGTCAAAAAGTCAAAAAGTCCTTCCCAAACCAAACTTTTTAGCCCAGGCTAAAATAGTCAAAAAGGCCAAAAAGCCAACTCATTTCCCAAACGGAGGCAAACTAAATAAATTTTGAGTTTTTTGCTCTCAAAAATGGTTTTCAAAACTAAACCAAACAAACCTTTGACTTTATTTCTTTGTCATTGACCGTCCTTATAGCTGTCTCTTTGTAATTAGCTCATTCAAAGAAAAATGTTTGGGAGCACTAATTAGATGGCAGTGGGTCTCACCATTAATGATGTGATGTTTTGGTCTTAGAGTTGTATTTTATTTTATTTTTTTTACTTTTTTAATGTATTAGTGGTATTAGTGGTGATGTTTTTAGTGGGATGAATCATTGTTGCTCACTCAAATGTTAAATTCATCAAAACATGACTTTTCTTCTTCTTTACGAAAAAAAAAAAAAAAATACAATAATATTAGGTGGCTCAAAAAATCATAATTTGAATTGCTCAAATCATTCAAAACAACGTCATTTTGAGGATAAAATAATATCATTTTAACACATTCGAATCATTCAAACCACATAAATTTAGATTATCAAACATTTTTCAATAAAATAACTTTTTTTTTACACAGCTTTGAAGATTGATGTGCCAAGTGAAGTGACCTCTGATTAGATACTTGTAATCTTGAAATAAAAACCATAAAATCATAATTGTTTCTAATGGACTTTCTAATCATCATGTAATCATCCCTAAATCCAACATTAATTCATGAGATCTTTTGTAAGATCTATTTGAAAATGAAGCCCAATTAATAAAGTTAATCACATGGGGCCACTGATGGGGACTAATGTGATATAAAATCAGTTTTTTTTTTGGTTTTTTTGTTGTTTTTTTTTTTTTTGTTTTTTTTTTTTTTTTTTTTTTTTTTGAAATGCAAATGATAATGCATTTTTTTTGTTTTGTCTTTTATGTTGCTACAGAATATCTCACATCATGTCTCACTTGTGCATGTTTTTTTTTTTTTTTGATAACCGAGTATCCGGGCCAGCACCCCTTCGGAGTGACGCACCTCGACTAATCTCGGGACCCTGAGCCGATCGACCGGGCAAAGACGCAGTGGCCCGCCAGTAGCCAGCTGGGGATGAGATTCGAACCTGAGACCTAGAGAGTGTGAAAATTGATTTTGACAACTCGAAATTTTTTCAGTGCTTCATAAATTAAAAATTGAAATTAATTTATCAAACAAATTTTGTTTCTTGAAATATGTTACAATTTTATCTGCCGCAACACACTCATATATGTACACAACACATGCAAATTTTAAGTCTCGCAGATGTTTACCAACTGAATTTGAGAAGTAAAACAATAACAAGAAGTCATGAAACCACAAAAAAAAATATAAAAAATAAATAAATTGTCAAAACATACAATTCTTATTAATTTGATGGCCTTGGTCCAAATGAGATTTTTGCAAGGGGATTGTTTGTCAAACTCAGCCTTAACTCTTGCATATGTTATGTTACAAATTGTTTTACTTTTTGTTTTTATACTTTCTTTTATTTTTGTTTTTATGTGATAATGATTTTATTTTGGTATGTGAGGATAAATATACAGAAAATGCCATAATAAAATTTTACAACAATGATTCATCCCCCATTTTTCCCTCACCCCCTTTGACCCCCTCTCTCTCTTATTTGTTACTTTTTCTTTTTCTTTTTCTTTTTTTTCCTGCTCCTTCAATCACCAC